GAGCACAATATAAAAAATAGATATAAAAATGATAAGATTTAAAAATTTCACAATAATTATATATAAATTTAATAAAAAATATTTTATATTTTCGTATCAATACGAATTTTAACATGTACTTTTTAAGTAAAATACAATACAAGTATATAAATTTTAATATTTTACATGATATAAATATACGAATTATCATATTTGTACACTAATTTTAATCCCAAAATGAAAAATATATAGAATTATATATATTCTGAAAAAGATTGCTTATTGAAAAAGTGCTTGTGAACAAAACAATATTCCCTCAGCAAGCAATATGATCACATTCAGAAAAACACTAAAGTCATTAACGCCTACAACTTATTATAACTTTACAACTATGAATTTTCAAATCCCACTGCTACACGAATTGGACTAGAAAAACACAAAAAAAAAAAAAAAATGATGAGGAAATTATAGGAGAAACTGAGAGGAAATGAAGACAACAAATTGAATTAGTGAAACAGAAAGAATTAGAGTACTTGCTGAAATTTTCTTTTTCTAGAAGTTCTGCTTTTGGGGACCAAAATTTCATATGGGGATTACCTGCTTACCTTTTCATATGGGGACCATAACAGAGTCAAGGAATAAGCAGATTCACATTTTTTTCAGTGATGAATTAGAACAATTCCAGCAATGGGGAATACTAATATGTCTGCTCAAAGGAAGAAATTGATGCCAACTTGTATCTAATTCAAGTCACTGACTTTGAGCCATGTTTCTTTCTTCTTTCCTAGATTCAACTAAGTACTTTCGACTAAGTTACACCACAACCTATGCTGTTTACACATTTCAGGCTAATTTATTTAAATCCTTTAGACCATTAACATCTAATTAATTAATTGCCCAAAGTCCAAGTTTGTAAGGGTTAAGCATTTAACCTAAAATTAATTAGTAATAAATGAAGGGACCAACTCAAATGTAAGATAAAAAAATTTTAATATTTAATAAATGTAAGATAATATTGTTTTAACAAATTCTCAATCATATGTCATAGAGCCGGAACTTGTAAGGGTAGCATATATGAGTCATAGACAAGAATAACAAAATAGAATTTGAGTATGATATCATATTAAGCATCTAATTTAAATATATTGATAATAAGTGGAGGGCTTAATTTGAATATAAAATCATAAAAAATCTAATACTTAATATATATAAGATAATACCATTTTAATAATAAGAGATGTAGGCGCCCTTTTTAGACAAAACTTAGATAAAATTGTTTAGGTAAAATTTTGTTTTTAAATTATTTAATAGAAACTTCAATAAAAAATTTAAATCGATAAATTGATAAATTAAAATGTGAAGATCAATAATGTAAAAAATTATTTAAAATATTTTTTATAATTTAAATGTGATCAATACTTATTTAAAAATATATGAAAATTTATTAATTTTTTTTCAAATTTTCATACTTAATCTATATAATAAAAATTTTCAATCTATAAATTTTAATTTTTATTTAATTATTTTTAATAAAAAATTTTACGAAACTCACTAAAAGAACTTTTTTTTTTTGGGGGTTACAACTAGGCTTTTTTTCTCATTCGTTACAACAACCTTTTACTCTATTCAAAGATTTCAAGATGGTCAAGAAGTTTTATTGTTTAATATGGGAACTATTTGATGTGCCCTTTATCAATAATTTATTGACCGGCAGTGGTTTCGGATTTGAATTACTATATATTTTATTAAAAACCCTTTATTGGTATTAATCTCAAACACACACTGCTGTGGAGTTTAATCCATCTTGTTTTAATTTGGAAGAATAAATAATCTATCCATTGATTTCTTGATTGAAATTTTTTTTAAAAAAATTATAATTAAGTTTTTTCTTTTTCATCAAATTATTACATGATTATTTAGGCGAATTATATTAGTTTTTTATTTAACATATGGCTGTTAAGTATCATAAAAGACACGTTATGTTAAATAATGAATTGCTTTCAATAATTATATCATTTTTTATATTTTTAATTGGATTGGTTGGAAAGGAAGATATATTTGACAAATTAATTAGTTGATGATGGGAAATCTTTAAAGCATTACATGACAATCTTGAAGGAACAGCCAATCCCCTATTTCAAGTCATATTGTTGATTTCTTTCATCTTTTTTCTTTTCCAAATCAAATTCCATGATTATGTGGGAATTTTTGAAATTATCATATATTTATATGGTTCTTTTCTAAAAAACATGGAGTGATCTATTGAAAAGAAGACACAATTTAGCATAAAGAATAGATTTATGGTCAAATAATGAAATGCACTTTCTCTATCCAATGATTCAATGATGTTGAATTCTTCTTTCATCCCATCCTCCTCTTCATGGTAATTAATGGACAAGATATTTAATTATATAATAGATTATAATTAAAGTAAAAAAAAATACAATAATCATATCAACTTAAAGGGAAAATCATTTTATTTCTAATGATTAAAATATTTGATAATTTAAATTACGATATAGTTATACGATAAAAATATTATATGAATAAAAGATATGAAAGTTATATAAATTAAAATTTTAATAATAATTATATATAGGTTTAATAAAATTACAATAATATATTTTATGTTTTTGTATCGACACAAATTATAATATATAATTTTTGTATAAAATATGATATGAATACATAAATTTTAATATTTTATATAATATAAATTATTAAATTTAACCTTGAATTGTTGTATATGGATAACCAAAAAAGAATATTACTACTAATGAATTTACAAATTCATTATTTATTAATTTCTTTCCTGTTAAGAATAATAGATATGTTGTATATCGAGGATTATTTAATTATAATTATATTTTTTATTAATAATGATATTATTAACAAAAAGAATTAATATTTTATTATTTCTTTCCTCGGGTTTAGAAAATTATTTTTGAATATTCTGAATGATCAAGTGATAAGATGTTACATAATTTAGCAAAGACAAGGTGGCCCGCGTAAGGAAACTTGAAAACGACGGTCATGTTTCTAGAAGCCACGTGGTTGGGAGCCGGTAAATCCGCCATGTACAGGCGGTGAAATTTTTTTTAAAATATTAAAAAAGTTTATGAATTATATTTTTATCGTATTTAAATAATTTTTTTTTATTTATATTCAAATATTCAAAGTATAGGTTGACTTCTGTTAAATATTCATTTAAATATAAATTAAAGATTAAAAATTTTTAAGTTTAAATTAAAATTAAATGTTTATTTGAATATAATAAAATATAAAAAATTTTTAAATAAAATAACAGTTTTAAATCTTTTATTATTTCTGCCTTTTAATTTGAAATGTCAAAGAACAAATTTAATTACTAAAATTAAAAATCTAATAATCTATCAATATCGATAAATCACATAATTATTTATAAAATTCTTTGTGTATTATAAGTATAATATTTGTTTATATTCTAATATTAACTATTATATGTTCCGTGGATCAGTGTTAAATTTTTATTTTTAATAATTAAAATTAAATTTTAATTATAAAAATAATAATTTATATTTTAATAAAAATATTTTTTTATTTTAAATTTAATGTTTGTTTTTTTATTTTATGATATCTTAAAATAATTACATTTATTTTTTAAATGAATTAAATCTTTTCAATATTACTTTTTATATTGAAATATGTTAAAATAATTCATTTCTAAAATTTTATATATTATTTAAAATAAATAAACATTCATGTTTAAAGTAAAAATAATTTAACAATAGTTTTTTATTATAAATGTAACAATAATTAAAATTAACAAAGCTTATTAAAATTTGTAAATCAATTCAATCCATCTGAAATTAAATTTCACTTAATTTAATTTGATAAAAAATTAAAAATATGATCAAACTCAAAATAATATAAATTTAAATTACTCAAAATAACTTAAATTAGGATTATTTAAATTCAAAATAATTTCCATCGACTAATTGAATTGTCCAATTACCATCCTTTTAAGTCTAAATCAATAACATATAAAAGAAAAAGAAAAATGAGGAGATTAATTAACCGACAAAGAAACATGTTCACATGGAAGCCGCGGGACCCAACTAGTGGGTCCACTTCCTCAATTAAAGTTGACTTGTACCGCAAGAACCCCAACATGTGGGGCCCACAAATTTCACGCTCTTTTGATTCTGTGCCTTCACCTGTTTTCATAACATGTATCTTCCTTGTGGGTCCATCCTATTATCAGAATTTAGACTATTGACTTTCTTATTATTTTATGAAACAATTTATTGAATTATATTAATATTAATTGTATTCTCTTAATTTTTTAAACTATTTTTTATTTTTATTTATAAAATCAAAAAAATTTAAATTTGATAATTAAAATTAAATATCTAATTTTTAACAATGATTGATTTATTTTTAAATACTTTTACTTGTTTTAAAACAACATATCAACGCATCCATTTGATGGTGATGGTGGGTGAGAAATTTTAAGTGTGATTTTGATGTTTGGTTTTAGCTTAAAAATTACTACTACATAAATTAGAGTGGAAAATTAGAAAAGAAAATTGAAAAACAGAACTTTGCTTGAAGGAATTAAAACTTGGTGGAAGGCTGAAATTTTTAATAAAATTAATGGTGTGATTAGTAATATATGAAAATTTAACCAAAATACCTAGATCCTTCATAACTTAAAAAGGAAAAAATTGTCAATAATTGTATATTTGCTAATAAAATGTTAATTATTTAATTTTAATTATAAGAATTCAAATTATGATAATTTTAAATAAAAAATAAAAATAAAAAGGGAAATTTTGATAGCCCCCGAAATAGCAACTTCATTTCAAAAAAAAAAAAAAAGTAAAGAAAGGTGATTAATTTGGCCATTCCTTTCTTAAAATGACCAAGCATCCTATTGATATCAAAAGAGATTTCAAAAGTTTCCTTAAAAAAAAAAAAAGATTTCAATAATCTAATGGAACTGTATGATTCACACAATCATAGCAAATCTCTGTACTGCCCTAACAAAAGCACTGAAAGTGAGCGGGTCAGCCCGATCGGCAACCTCCCTAACTTTAAACTTTAAAGCGCTCAAAATCATACACAAACGCACGCTTCCCGTCATATAATTCCTGTCACCCACATGGACAAATCATGACCGCTCTTTTAAGGACACATGTTTTTCAAGGACTGGTTCCAAACTGTTTCCTGTCAGGTTCTTCTCCTCCTTTTAGGCTTTTACATAAATTTATTTTTATATATAACCCCAAACCAAGCCAAACGTGTTGGTAAAAAATTTTGTGCAACCGCTCTATTTTGTTTTTGATACAGCTAGCAGTCAGTTCTGAAACTTTTGAGGAAAGAAAATGTCACCGGAGAATGGAAAACACTTGCCGGAAAATTATGCCACCGGCTTGAATTTTGAGGCTACCGAGTTGACTTTAGGGTTGCCCGGAAAGCCTAGGGTGACAATATCGGATGGTGGAGCTAAGTCGGGCACTAAACGTGGATTTTTGGAAACCGTTGATCTTAACCTTGGTGACAAAGATTGTGGCCAGTCCCAGATTGATGTCCAAGAAGCTGCCAAGTCTCCTGTCTCAAAGTAAGCAATTGTAATGAAACTCAGTGTCTCGTGCCAGCTAATTAAGCTAACTTACCACTTTTAATATCCCGTCTCAGATATTAAAATTCATATCTTAATGTTAAAAAGCATTAAATATTTTTACTTTGGACGAGAATTTAATCATATTGAAAATTTGTAATTTGGTTTGTAATTTTGATGAAAATATTATATAGGGCACAAGTGGTGGGTTGGCCGCCGGTGAGAGGCTTTAGAAAGAATGCAATGAAGAGTTGTAAATATGTAAAAGTGGCGGTGGATGGAGCTCCATATTTAAGGAAAGTTGATCTTCAGATGTACAGCAGTTATCAGCTGCTATTAAGCTCCCTTGAAGATATGTTCTCATGTTTCATCATGAGTAAGTGCATCAAAATTTTGTCAGCAGTATAGCGGGTTCTGTTGATAAAATATTAAAATTTTAATTTTAATGATCAACTGTCGATACTTTCAGCTTTAACTATAAAAATTATCTTTTACATTTGTTTTTCTTAATTTCCTCCTGGTTACAATTTTTCTTTGATGTATAAAGAATAATTTAGTCTTTAAATTAATTTTTTTAACAGGAAATTATTTGAATGAGAAGAAAATAGTAGACCAAGTGAATGGACTTGAGTATGTGCCCACATATGAAGACAAGGATGGAGATTGGATGATGGTTGGAGATGTACCATGGCAGTAAGTTTCCATTTCCAAAAATCCCATTAAACTATTGCTAAAGTTTCTTTTAGAATCAACACTTACTAGTACTAATAATTTTTTTCTTTTTCCGCTTTTATTAGAATGTTTGTTGAATCATGCAAACGCCTAAGATTAATGAAAAGCTCTGAGGCAATTGGATTAGGTAAAAATTAAAATCTTTAATTATACATCTTTTTTCATGCTTATTGATCAATACTATGTACTATTAGTAATAATTTTTGCTCTATTTTTTTCTTATTTCTGGCACTACATGATCAAATCTGATTAATTTGTAGTAATTATTATTGATGCAGCTCCAAATACACCTCCAAAATGCTCAAGCACAACTTAAAGAAGCCTTTACTTAAGCATCCAAGAAATTAAGGAATGATAAATTGATGTACAGAGGCTTTTGCTTTGTTAATTCACCTTTTTAACATTGATCCATGGATGGTGGGCAGAGTTTTTGATTAGATGTAGGGAGTCAAACGAAACAAAAAAATAAACAAAAGAGACATGCCTGTAATTTTCTGTAAGTTACATTATTGTTCTAGTGCAATTCAAGGTTATCAATTTCTTCTTTCCTCTTTGAGATACAACAGATGATTTGTAACACTTGAACACATCTTGCTATTATTTTTTATTTTTTAAATTTTGATAAAGTGATAAATTCGAATTTAATTTTTTAAGTAAAAAGATACACGCACTTATTATTAAATCAAAATCCGAATGCCCGACAATTAAATTGAATTGTACAAGTCATTTAATTATTTAATTTAGTTCTTGATATAAAATTCTAGGATGTTGGTGCACAAGAAATTGAGGAAAAAATTTAAAAAAATTAATGAAAAATCCAGGAAATAGAGGGTTACTGCAGGAGTACTTGATATAAAGGGTTTTCAGAACAATTTAAAATATTTATTTCATCCATCATTAATCTGGCAATCAAAAGGGACACTGAATTTTATTTTAGTATAATTATAATCAATCAGAAACTCCCATTGTGTATACCCCTAAAAAAGAGAGAATTTCTGAATTTATCTTTCTTCCTCGTTTTACTCTCATAAAAAGAAGACAATTATGTATGTCATGTCATTAATTTTTTACAGTGAGAAATGCTAGTTTAATTAGAAACGGTTGAATCTGTACATATACAATAAAAATCACAACATTGCTGGCTCCCATAACTAAATTCATTCAAAAACTACAATGATGTGTTTTCAATTTGATGAAGCAAATGTTTCCAACCAAAATTCAATTATTGCCATGATTATATGTATGCCTTTTTATGCACTTATATGTAGAAAGCAAAGCAAGAAGATGAAATTCAGGTAACATCTTTTGTACTGCTGTTTCTTTCGTATAGGGCATCAACTGCTAAATTGGATGTAATTTTGCTTTTAAAAAAATTGTAATGTTTTTGCAAAAATTAAACATTGAGTCCAGAAGGATGTAGACAGGAAATTGAGATCACATTCTCAACTCTTCACTCCTTCGTTTTTCAAAAGCCAGATGTTTAATTTTCAATTACTTTGAACATTCAAGTTTACTTCAAAAGAAGCAAATCATATGTGTAACCCTTTTTTGGTGTGATGCAAAGCAATCAAGCTATGACAAATGGTTTTTTGGTCAGTGAAGGTTGACGGGAGGAAGAGGTTCGGTTCAGCTATGAGAAGTTGATGTTGTTAAGGTTTACATGTGAGTGTGATATTTCACATCACTAAAACCGTAAATGCGACATATATACATAATGGATATAAGAAGCCATTAGCATAAGTTTTTGGGTTTGAATAATGTTCAACATGTATATATTGACTCTTTTATTTCACTCCTATGAACGCATGATTTAGGCTTATTATATGAATGATAGGTAGTGGAGATATATAGTTGGACTTACTAGCTCGTCAGATGGGCCAACAGGTTCCATGCACATCTTTGTCATCTTAGTGATGTGACCCAAAATGGAAAATGAGAAACAAAAATCTTCACATTTCTTTTTTTCATGAAATGAAATCTGCAGGCATCGTGTTCAAAAGTATTGAAAGCCTATTTTCTTTTGGAAGTAATTTAATCAACCCAAGTGTCACAACCTGATTGATGAAACTTTATTTGTGGTTGGATGGCTTCAAAAGTCTCATCTGAATTTGGTTGCCTTTATTTGTGGTGAGCTCTTCTCTTCGACATGTAAGTGCCATAAAAGAAGGCATTTTCAACCATAAGAATCTTGATTCATATCAATGACAGATTTATTTCAGGCCATGGGCCATTTCCTAAATCAAGATAGTGGTTCTCGATTCCTATATTTGGATACATTTGAAGCCAAATATTTTCAGGTCAATCAACAACTTGTGATCTCTTTTCAACTTTGAGAAAAATGGTAAGCCTCAAGAAATGGTAACCTGAGAGGGATTGATATGAGACAAGTTAAACAAAGTCAAAAAAAAAAAAAATCCCCAAGTTACTGGCACCACCACTTTGTTGTGCTTATGACTACTACTTTCAAGTTATTATATCAGCGGTGGCTCACAGTTCTCCAGCTGAAAATATGGATTAAGTTCAATTGCTATTAATGCAGGAAAGTGAGTGAGGAGCAGGCGATGTCCCTAATGTTCATGTTCTTGTAAGAAAATAAGTAAACCCCACTAATACCGTTCCTGTAAGAAATTGAAGCAAAAACAGAAACGTTATAAAAGTTTCAATTGTCTTGTTGGTTGGCAACTAATCACATGTAGCCGAAACTTTTGTCAAGAAGTTAGCCCAAGAATGTAGCCAACATTAAATGAATCAATGAAGGATTGTTACAGATTTCTATCCTAATGTGACATTAAAAGATACCGTGTGGCTGGTTTAGCCAGCATGCTTTGCATGGTTGAAGAGTTATGGACATGATTAGTTTCCCTCTAGCCTCTCTTTACTTTCTTCTAACCACCATAATTAATTGAGGCAGATAGACAAGAGTACAACGGGACTTCACTAAGAGATAGCATTAAGGTTCCCCTCCCTTTCCCTATAAATTTTAACGGCCGACTATTTTCTATTCACGTTCATCAAAATAGTCGTACAAAGAGGAAAACAATGGATGCACCACCAGCACAAAAGATTTCATACTACCATGAGGTTAAAAAACGCCATGAGGAGAAAGGCTGCCTCTATGCCTGGTTTGTATTTCACTTCTTTTTGGTTTTAATCTCATTTTGCTTAGTGTAAAAAAGGATTAATGTGATTTTTTTTTGCACTTTTTACACATTTTATCCTCTGTTGAAACCTTTTTGCTGCCTTGTAAATTATTTGACGTCAACTTGATTAATGGTGTTTCCTGCAGTTTGTTTGCACTTTGTTGCTGCTTCTGCTGCTATGAGACATGCGAATGCTGCGTGGAAACTACCTGCTGTTGCTGTATCTGAATTACTAGATCAAACTTTCAATTATCAGCATCTAAGCGGATAATTTGATAAGAGGCAATCATTCAAATAGATTTCCTTTCTAGCTTCATTTATTTCAACCCTTAATCTTGTGAAACCTGGAATGTTTTTTTCGTTTCTTATTTGCAAGTTGTTAATGATGTGATCTTCAATGGATTTTCTTTGGTTCCATTTCAATGCCTGGATGCTTCAACACTCATAAATCTGTGTATTTTCTGAGCAGACAAAAATGCAATAGTGTTCGCATTTTGGACTCGAAACTCTCAAATTCAAAGCAACTAAATGAGAAATGAGACTCACCATATGCAAGATCGTCATTAGAATATGAGTTGATGCGTAAAAGCCATTTTTGGACTTTTACCAAACAATTTAAGCTTTCGAATTGAGTTGTTCTTGACATGATATAAGAATCTCATCGGGTAAGATCTTATTTGGCATATTGATTATAGTCATGTTTGATCGTAATTGTCAAATTTGGTTTTTGTTAATATGCACCAAATAAATAAATAAATAAAACTTGCAACATGCATAATATATGTTTAAAATGCAAATCGTTTGTTTGTTACTCTCTCAACTACATCACCTAATATTTACACAGAGTCGAAATTTTGGCTTTTGCTGATTTGTTTTTCTTCTGTATCAGGTTTTGTTATAGAAAATAGGGGGGGGGGGGGGGTATAGATTTAAGAAATCTCATCATGTTTATTGATCGAAATGCATGCTACTATTATCAGGATTTGCTGCCATTTCATTCTAATCTTTCATCTCCAAGGAAAAAACAAAAAGGGTCGTGACACATTTACAATCTCATCAATTGATTGTAAAATGAGAAAATTTACAAGTAATTACACCTCAGAACACATCTTCTACAAGAAATCAAAATTGAATTGGAAACTTATATTCAAAAAAAAAAAAAAGATCTACTCACCTAAGATGGGATTCCTCCCTTCATCGATTTCAATTATGAGGAGATGCTTTGGATCTGATCCATTTGGTCCTTCAGAATACAGGGTAGGCAGGTAAGCTTTGTAAGCAGGCAGGTAACGTGAAACAAAATCTTTCACCTGTGAAAATTGCCAGAGATTTCGAACCAGAAATCAGGGGAAAAAAAGGATACAGATACTTTTCTAAATGTAATGTGAATGTAATATGTTATGGAATAAATAAGTATATGCACCTCCTCATCAGACATTCCGGGTTTCCCTGCCTCCCTCATGGCAATCTCAGCCTGTCCAAAACCATTTACAACAAAAGTGTTTAGAATAATCTGTGATTCTATGTATGAAAAATAGGAGGTTCTCAGGATAAGGTGATTTGTTGATATGAGTATTTCAAAATAAGAACCAACCTGCAGACGCCACTGGTAGACACAACTTGGGTCCTGAATTTTTATAACAATCCACGCCTTAATGAATTTGTCCCATGCATCATAATATGCTTCAAGATTTTTATTTACTGTCTCTAGCTGTAAAATCAAACATCAGCTTGATACATAACTTTCCTGTTAGATTAACATAAGCAAATACTAAACCGGAAGCAGTAACACTAATAAGTGCCCCTTAAGACTTTGGAATCTGGAGATCTAACCTGTGGATCAACAGCTTTAACAACTTCAGATGGAAGGGGTTTGAAGCCAAGCATCCAGCCTTCATACAGAACAACCTGATGACCACCCAAATCACAAGAGTTAAGGAAAGGGAAGAAGGAACAAAAGTAACTTGATTAAAATTAGAATTCTCACATTGGCAATGATACAAAGCCAATCAAATGAACATCTTTAGCTAATTGATATTGATTTTGGCCAATGAATCTAGTTTGTACTATTTTTGTTCTAAAATTTCAAATAATTCAAGCATAAATTCAATACTTATGGAAATCAATTTTCATATATTAACATAACCATGTTAATGTATAGGCCATGATGTCTACTTTTTGGACAATCTAAATCCAAACAAACTGTACTAACCCTTCCCCAGCTCTAGCTGAAGATTAACTTACCGTTAGTGGTCCTTCAACTTCAGGCCATACTGAAGGATCAGCTCTGTCACCCCTCCCACTGTATGCAGACTGTAAAGAACAACATTATTCATTGGCAAAGTTGAACTAAAAGGTGGACTGCAAAACAAGCAAAATTGGTAATATTGTGCTTACTTTATCATATCGAGGAAGCTTCATCTTCATACCTGTATAACTCAAACAATGTCAACCACAAGGAGATGGAAAAAAGTGAATCATGCCAAGGAATGATGATTGAAGAAAAAAGAACACCTTCTTTAGTCAACCCGCTCACAGCTGTTAGTGTTTCAACAGAGAACGGAAGATCATGGCTCCCAGCATTTCCACGCAACTGGAGTAAGAAAATACAAGAAAGGGAAAGAAAACCATTTCATTCTTGGTAAGTGACAAAACAAATTGTCCCCCTGTTAAGTCAGAAAACAATCAATAAATAAATCAATAGCCACCTCTAAAAGTGCATTTCCTGGGTTCTCTTCCCTCAACTTGGCCTATTATCAATGTACACTGCATCAGAAAGTGATAAAAATTGAAGAAATTTTAGCATATGCTAGAACTCCATAATTATTACCTGACCCTCTGCTGTCAAATAGAAATCATCTATGGATAATGTTGCAGACTTCCTGAGATTAAGACGGATATCAGTAGTTTCAATTGTTTCCACTTTCACAATTTATATTAATGAGTTAAATGAGATATGAATTACTTCTATTTATTAAATTCCACTGCTCTTTTAGCTACCTGCCAGTGATCCTGAAAAGATAATCAAGAGCAAAGACGAGTGTTGTCTTTCCACAACCCTGTGGTGCACTAAAACCAATCTGCATTCCAAAAAGATGCGGATAAGATCAAAAGAATAGTCAAGTAATTTGTGCCAGCTTCGCAGACCTTCAGGAATAAGAACCTTCTACCATATCCTAATGAAATGAAATCCAAAATAGTACTGAAAATTGCACAGGGAAAGAGAACACAAGCACACACACAACAATCATCTGAGAACCTTATCCATACCACTAAGGGAGGTATGTCTTCCCCATCTTTAAACTTGGACATGTGTTGTGATATCTGATCTTCACACCATACAAAAACTGGTATGTAGTAGTGATAAAACCTTGCTTTCTGAGGAATAGTAAGGTAAAGTTCGTTGACCTGAAACAGTCGACAAAGCTTTGACCCATAAAACAACCACTTATCAATGGACTCTGCCACCTTTTCTGGGGTCAGGCCCACTTTTTCCACGAGAGGACCAGAGCATATGAATTCATAAAGGTCCTGTACAGAGGAAATTTCAGCAGGTTTCGTGGGAAAAACTGAATATATTGGACCCTGCCTCAATCCACTACCACTGCTAGCATCATGATGGATGGAATTACCATCTTTCAACCATGAGCTACCACTGCCTGCAGGAAGAATTCATAACCAAGTGAAGATAAATTATGAGCTAAACTGAAATTTTTACAGAGAGTAGTGCAGGAAGTAGCTCTAGAAAGAAACCAAATTCAACAGTGTTATTGTCTATTAAAATCCATTAAACATTGTAAATTAAAATGCTAAAGCTAAAAAACTCATTTGAGCATAAGAATTAGACAACTCCAAACACCTAGGAATTTATGTATATCCAATGTGAATAATTTCTGTGTCTATGTAAAATTTTCCATTTTGGTTTTCTTAAGGAAAGAACAACGCTTTCTTGACATCCCCATATTGAAATTTTCTTGTTCTAACCACTGGAATATCACTCAAGGACAAAATGTCAACCATGAAAACAACCAAATAAGCAATTAATAATTCCTGAAAATAAATTTATCAGCTTAAATTAACTTAACAAACTGAACATCCAAGAGGAGAAAGCTCTCTTAAGTGGATCAGTGGGCAAATTCTATAAACAGAAGAAACAATATTCTTTTCTGATTCCCACCATCATAGAACTTTAGTAGATTGGATATTTGCTTTATTTTCTAATCCTAATTTCTCAGAAACCATCATTAAACAAACATTGAAACATTAAGTCAAGCTTCCCAAATTATTTAGAAAACCGATCAAGAAATAACAGAAGAAGGTTTCAAAATTTTCATTCTTTTTTTTTTTTTTTTGTATCTTATCTAAAACTTTTCCAATGGCTACCATAACACAAGTAGATAAAAGAGAACAAAATTACATAAACCATAGAAAAATAACAGTAATAAAAGCAATGATAAACAACAAAAATTAAAAGAGGAAAAGGAGAGAGAAATACCTGAAGTAGAGAAATGGGTTGGTGGTATAGTTAATTTGGATTGTGTAGACAGAGAAGAGAAAGCGGGAGAAGAACTAGGCTGATAATGATAACTAAGCAAAGAGGACTTAGCTTTATTCATATAAACGTTTTGAAATTGATACTGATTAAGATAATGGGAAATTTTAATATTATTAGAATACAAGGTGGTGGCTTGGCATGGCGTTAGCGTTGTGAAAGCCGCCATTTTTCTCTCTCTCTGAGGAGACGAGAGATGGGGAGAAGAAGGTGGACGAAAGGTATGTGATTGGAACGCTTTTGTGGTTTTCTGTTTGGTCTTTTAATTATTAACACACAAAACCAAACCAACAAAATATCGTGTTTAAGGCCTACTTCCTTGCCTCTCAATTTTAAGAAGAATTCATAAGTTTATTTTATATAAAATACGAAAATTATCGTAACAAAATATATACGAATATATTAAATACAAAATATATTTTTTTACTTTTTAAAAATCTATACATATATATATTTTTTAAAAAAAAATTTTAAAACATATTATTTTTGTATCTATTCATATTTTGTCAGCATATTATGTTTAAAATTTTCAAATATATTTTCAAGGATTTTTTACCGATGCGTATTTGCAAAGTGCAAACTTACCTGCTGTATGATGTTTGTTATTAGAGGGTCAAAAGAAATACTGTCCAAGTTTTATCAGAAAAACCACTTCTGACAAGTCATAATCATATCATACTGACTATAAAAATCCCAATTATAATAATTAATAAAAATAAATAAGCAAACACAAAAATGTATTCCAAAGGAAGAACAAAGCAGCTTTTTCAATTGATAGAGAATTCATCAGTCAACCTTACATTCAGCCGGTTACATTTTGTCTTCTCTTACAAACATTACAAACTAAACAAATTAATCTCAGTCACCATACAATCATGCCAGTTTTAAAGTCAACAACAAAATAACAATATCAACGGTTAGATGTTTAAAATTTGAACAAGGTAACGTTACAAAGATACAGATACAGTTTTGGAAGAACCAAAACTTTGAGAGTTAAGTGTCTATGGACAAGAGTTTGAGGAATATCAAGCACTAATGAACATGAATGAAGAGGTTAGAATATGAACATTTTTGGTTCAACCTCATGAGAAATGGCAAAATTCAGAGGGAACTTCCACCCGAAAAGTATTATGTCTGTTAGCAGCCCCTTGAAGTCATCAGGAATTAGCCATTTTTTCTTAGAATAGTGTTTCAAGCAGTTTCGGAGAAGACAAGGTTGCCACAGATTTAAACTGGTATAACAAAAAGCTCATTAGAGAACATATAGGAAACCATTAAATCAATAGTAATTGAGTTCCTATAAAAGTTTTGAAAGATGCTACTATTACCCTTTGTTGCCTATATTTCATGCGTATAACATTTAGAGGACAACCGTTGGTGTTCAACTGTAAATCTTGCAATGCATGAACTGTGGTTTTGAGATCTGATACATTGTATGCCGTGTAGTGTTCTAGAGTTGGATTCTGCCAAGAAGGAAAACAAAGAGTTAAGCCAGAGATGTACAGGATAGAACCAAATGAAGGACCAATGAAGAGAATGCAGACCCATGGGTGACACGACTGATCCAAAGTCCATCTGGCAAGAAATACAGCTGATGCAGCTACGATAGAAGGAGCAAAACTTAAGAAACCATAGTCAATTAGTGTCAGTTCTGCAAGATAGTTTGCCAAGTATTCCAATTCTATGCTAGGGCTCTGCAATTGGCAATTAGGTGCAGAAAATTCAGTCATATGCAGAAATAAAAGGAGCTTGGTACCGCATGAATTAAGGCCAGTTCTATCCCAAAATAAATATGTTACCGTGTAAGAAGCTTGTGCTGCTCTTAGGAATCTCCTGAAAAACAGAAATTTTGCAGGAAAGAGAATTAGGATAATAATGGAGTATTTTGAGCCTATCAGACTTTCATATGCATACATACATATTTGGGTTGGGCTAAAATACCTGAGAAAAGTTTTTGCAGTAGGTGCAAATAGTTGAAAACCAGAATACTTTAATACTTGACTCTCCATTTTTAGCACCTGCCAATTTCTTTATGTAAGAAATATAACTAAAAGTATGTGAACAAAGGAAGAAAATAACTTCAGTTGGCTCATTTTAGTTATGTCCAGGTAACCATGTCAATTTCATTACCACAACATTTATGTGCAAAGAGACATACATGTTTACACGAATTATAACTGTTCAAGTGGACTCTTAAGAACCCCATTTTATTTAGCTCAAGATCAGAGCTAGAACATAACTGCCAATGCAGAAAATCTAGCTGAAAAACTTTTAAAAGTCATTTAATTGCTATCCGGAAAAAGAAAGGAAAGCCACCGGACTATAACCATCCTCCTCTTCCCACCTTCCTTTTGTCCCTTTTTCTTTTTTTGAAGTCAGAAACACTTCAGCTCCAAGCCACATAATTCTTTTCTTTTCTAATCTTTTTACCCTATATTGGCCAGCTCATCTGAAACAATGACAGCCAAATTAATGCATACCCTGTTTTCTCACCTTCTCACTGAATTGGCAACAAAAAACTCCTACAGCACAAAGCAAACACTATGTGCAAAATAAAGACAAAAAAAGAATAGTAACAGCCTAAACCAAAAATTTTACAAATGTTCAAGTAGATGCCTGTTAATGAAGTATCAATGACATACCTCCTCTCTAGTGTAAGTGTTGTCTGTGATGAAGCAAAATTCTTCTACACGAGGTGCACATATTTCCTCATACTTGCTTCAAGTATAAAGAGAAACTAATGTTAGAACTACAAAATGGAAAGCAATGTAGAAGTTATTTTATGATGAATCCACCATTTTAATCTTCAAACCTCTGAGATTAAATTATTTAAGTATACTAGCAAACTAGTCTCATTATGATTAAGTAACATTGACAGAAGAATAAGTTTAAGACTCTGGTACAACAACAGCATGGGAATCACTTTCCCCTTCTTGCAAGATTGCTGTTTGTCAAACTTGACAAGAAACTTTTCTAATCAATTGAATTTTGGACTGTCTCTCAAGCAACGTGATCATATTTCTAAACTTTCTAATACTGTCCTTATGCAACCACTTCCTTCTTCACAATAACATTGTCAGCATCAGGCAATGCTCTGACATAACAGTGCTTAGCATAAATGATGAGTACTTAGATTCATTGCTGTTCATCTTCATTTTCTAATTGTAGCATCTACTGTATTTGCAGTACTAAATACAAACTAAAATTTTGAATTTTTTACTGAAAAGAAATCATGGAACAAATCTGAAATGGACGCGACAGCTTACGATGCTATCAGCATGCAAGTGATCCCAAGAAGTTGAAGTCTTTGTCTTTCGATGTAGTTTTGAGAGAGAAACCAATCAATTAGGTACACTGTGAGGTAAAGTGTGTCAGGCACCAACTTATATTCTTCAGATACCTGAAACCAAGATGGTACTTCCTTTGAACATTGGTATAGGAAACAAAGAAAAGAAATAAAGAATTCTGTCATTAAATAGCCATTATAAACAGCCAAAAATATATAATTGGTTTTCAACCAGAGGTCAAGAGAATTTATCTGTATGGAAAAGTTAATACCTTTTAATGTTGATATGCATCAGAAACAATAATAAAAAACTAGCAAACCATTTTTCATATCCACATCATACCACCGGTGCCCCAAGATATGATGGTGTATCGTTGGGAATGCCGGTTTTTACTTGATAGATCAAAATCTAAGAAAGCACAACCTTCATGACTGTATGTTTTAAGCGATTAAACAATATTTTGATGGCAGAACTATACCAACCTCCACAAGCCAATCAACCAAAATTCCCCGCATGCTTTGAGTGATATCTCGCTGTATTGTCTCCATAAAATTAGGAGATGGCCTGCGGACAAGCTGAATAAAAAGAGAGATTAAACCAACTGCAAAGACCAAAAGTTCAGGCTAATGTAGAAGACAGTAGAAACACAAAAAGTGCCCCTGTTCACTCCCTGACTGAAGTAGGAATTCAGAAGTCAAACCACGAATGTTATGGGCTGGAAACGAGCTCAGAAAGCACAACAGAGCTCACAAAAAGTATAATTTTGTTCATACCCGAAAAAAACATTACATAGCTTTGAAGTCTGCTGTTGCATAATGTTAGCTAGTAAAATCACACACTATGCATGCACCCAAACTTTTTGAAAAGAATAAGTCATCAACTATGAAGTTTTATTCAATCAGTTTTGATTGGAGAGACCATAGCGTAAAAAAGTGTTTTGTGGATGATGATGCAGATTCTCTAACTAGTAAGTGTCCCACTTGAGGAGTTCTATTGGTTCAAACTAAAGTTCAGCTCAAACCATCGCTGATGCATATAAATTTCCAAGTTAAATACAAAAAAATAATAATAATAATAAGCCATGGAGAGTAAACGTTCCAAATGCAAGGAGTTAATCACTCATTCTTTTTCATGCGTATGAGATCAAAGATCAGCTCTCAATCAATTTTAATTTGTATACACCTTTGCTTCTTTCATCAAAACTCAATCTCTTAATTTCACAGAACGCTTCAGTTTGGGGGTTTCTAACAAAAGGCCTGCTCTTGTTCCCTTCTGGTTGATTGAGCACGGGAGCAAACAGGTCTCAAATATTTTCTGGTAATGATAGAACAAGGTTTGGCAAAGCCAAATGTCTGACATATTTCTGAGTAATTTTTAAAAGATTTAAGTCACAGTGGAACCAAGAACTGCAAATATACCATAAGACAGGATGTATACATTATATGCACCCCAAGTCACATAAATTAGATTGCTTGAGGTAGTTACTCATGTTTCCAATTTTGCTGGTTTGGAATGAAATTCATTAGTTCCTTAGTAGATCTGAAGGGAATAATAATGGATGTGGGAACATGAAAGTGAAACAAAGATAAGAATGTCTATAGCACATACCTCAGCAACCCGCAAGTTGTTATAGATTTCCGGGGCATAGAGGCTACAAAGTTGAGGATCCTTCTTATCTGAATCAATGTCTATAAAGTCTGGATCACTAGATGTCATTGAAGTCGCAGAAAAGCCAATCTTCTCTACTGTAACCATTTCAAAAATGTCAGTATTTGCAGCATGAAGCCATATAAAACAACAAGGCAAGCATATGTCAACCTATATGGCTATATCTCCAGCTTATAACCATTAACAAAACAAGAAAACAAGCAATGCAAAGTACATTTTATTTTCCAATCTGGAAAGAAACATATTGCTTGGATAATAAGGTTCCAAGACATTTAGTTTTATGAATGTAGTGCTAGGACGAGTCTCCATAGGACTTTAAATTTTACTAGATATAATAATACAACTAACTAAAAGAATAAAATTATAGAGCTATCTTTTGACTATTACTTGGCTTTATAGAGATTGAAAATAAACTGTTGTTGCTTGCTTTGTTGTTTATGTTCTTCAAAAGATTGCCTATTATGCCATTCAGAAGAAATCCCATTTTGTAGAGAGGATAAACTGACTATTTGGTTTTGAAAGCACCTCAGATTAAACCTGAGAACAATCAATTTTGCCCTTTCCTAGTGCTGATATCCCCACCTAATATCACTGAATGGATGCGTAACCATGTCACCAATATTTTTTTTTTGCCGAGATCATGTTCCGGATCTTTACTGTTAATATGAATTTCATATTTCATGTCCAATTTGGATGACAAATAGGCAATATATTTAAATTGTTTCACCTATTAATGTTGGTGTCTACACTCAACATTTGTACTCAAATGCCTAAAATTGTTAAGCACACAATTCTCTCCAAGGTGTACTTTCTCCCATGCTAACCAAACTTAATATATATGCATTCTTTCATAAATATTTTATCATCAAATTTGGATGTAAGGGTGAAGGAGAAGGCTAACCATTTCTTGGAGGGCTTTGGGGTTGTGAAGGCATTGTGAAACTTTGATTTGCAAGCCAATGGTGTTGTATGCTATCATTTTTTATTCTATTTAACAGAAGAGTGGCATCTCCTTTCACATTAACTGAGCACGTAACTTCTAATTTAGCTTCTATTTTTGCAGTCTCTTGAATGCCTTCTTTCTGTGAAATGGCTTGAGTTGGCTGGACCTGTGGTGCTATAGCAGGGGCTACTTTGGACGAATAGGCCTGCCCTTGTCTAGCCTGCTTGCTGCTCTTAGCCTGGCAGTGTCAAAATCATAAATCTAATTACAAACATCTGAGCAGTAAAATACATTTTTCATGAACAGATTGAATATGCGTATCATAATCTAATGTCTTTAAAAATATATGCATGTAAGACCATAATTGAACTGATATTATAAATTGACTAAGGATGGCATATTAACCTGGATTTTGGTTTCATTAAAGCACTTCCTATATGAATTATTACAGCAAACATTCGTTACATCCTGAAGCACTGCTCTCTTCTTACGCTGAAGGCCTGCATTATCAAGTGCATTGGTGTTGTTTTCGTCCAAGGCTGTTCTTTTGGTATTTGCTCGCAAAACCCGTTTCTGATCTGATTGATTAGGTGCATTTAGAGGTGGCAACTGTCCAGAAGCACGCAATGCAGCTGCTCGAGCACGTGTGAGTCGACCATTAAGTTCTCCAACATTAGCAGAAACTACATTTTCTTTCCTCATATTTACACGTCTTGGAGAATTGCAACACGGAGCAATAAAATGAAGCTAGAAAAGTAAAGCCTGCATCAATGCTCAAAACCATACCAAGTAAATATCAGTATAAGGAGATCAAGCAACAAGATCTGATTAAAACTTATATCTTAAACATAGAATGGTAAAAGATATGGCAATGTCAGATAACAAATCTCACAAGCACATAATGTAACATAGTAACAACATGGTGGGAGTTGAAATGCCACAACAAAGACGAACCTTTTATACTTCAAATTTCAAAATAACAATACACATTGGTACATTCATCCAAAATAATGTTTCTCCATACTGTTATTTATAGTCAAACTATGTCTCTTTTCACTTATGATTGGTCCTGTCAGATTTGAAGAGGAAACTACTATAACTTCACTAGATCACACATCACATTGTAAATCAGGCAATGCATTTAGGGAACTTTTGCTCCTTTTGCAAGTTGTTTGTAAGAAAAATTTGCCATGTCCTAATGTTTTTCTCTATGAGAAATCCCATTTCACCTGTCAGTATAGACATAACTTAAAAGCCAGAAAAATGAACAAATTAAAAGCTTGTTCCTCTCCAAAAAAAAAAAAGCCAAATCAAAGGCTAATACAATGCAGAAAACTAAAAGGAAAAGACCTTGAAATTTTGATAAAAGGAAACAAATCAAATCTCGAATCTGAAATCTATGTGAAGCTAGTACCATGAAAACAAAACATAGATTTGAATCTTACAAGAAAGCTTTCTTCCAAATTTTGGCTATAATGTTTACATATGAAGACTTTAAGTAGCAATCTAAACAACAATCTAAAACAACCAGAAATCAAGGGTAACACGTGAAAAATTCAAAAACATTTGACACAATCAACAATAATGTACATGGAAATTTAAAAACAACAAGAAACTAAACAATAAAAGGAAACAAAATTTTCTGTCTAAATAATGTTTCCAAATATAAAGAATTTTGAAAAAAGATTGAACTAAAAAGTCAAGATCCTAAAAACCAAGAAAAATAAAAAAGAACTTCAACCCACATTTCCCTGAAAGCTTCAAAATTTTCAAAATTTGAAGCAAACCAAGTAAACTCAAATCGATCTGGTGACTCGTAAAGCATTATACATTGGAATTCAACAACTCAAAAATGAAAAAAAAAAAAAGGAAACTTTTGCAAATGGGTATTTTCTAGAATTAAATGAATGTGCATAAAGATTGAAAGTTTGACCTGATTTTTTATCCTTCTCTAAGCTCCAAGAAACATCTCCTCAGAGCTTAGAAGGAAGAAAAGAAGGAAATGTTTGTTTTCTTTTTAATCTGTAGAAAAAAAAAAAAAAAAAAGAGAGAGAGAGAGAGAGAGAGTGAGTGAAGTGAGCGGGATTGGAGTGTAGGTTTAAACTTAGAATATAATAAAATTAAAATTAAAATAAAGTTTAAACAATTTATTTAAATTAGGGTTACGAATATTTTAATTGGGGGTCTGATCTTAGGGTTGAGTGAAAAGAGTGTGAAGACAGTTCATCGCTCGGGGGTTTGTTATATTGGTTTTGATTTTGTGGTTAATGGGGCGTTGGATTGCTTTGATTTAACTGTTGGCGTTTTTACATGTTTAACCCTTGATGTTACCCGTTGGCTCGTTGACTAAGGCTGGAATTTGAAGGGTATGATGGTCAAGGGGGGAATCAGATTGGCTTTATTGTTTGATGAGGAGGAAGAATAAATTTCTCTACTGGCGAAGCTATGAATGTGGAGAATTAGGGCCACTGGCTTAGTGACATGTTTCACATTTTTTTTTTATAAGAGAGCAAAGAATTTTAAGTGTGTATATATATATATACATGGGATAATTTCTCCTCTAGCTGCAGTAATTTAGAAAATTTCAAATGCAATACATGTAATCAAAATTTTTACTGTTGAATGTGGTACCTTATTTTTATTATATTTATCATTATTTTTAATTTCATTTATTTATTTATATGTGAAAAAAAAATCAATCAAAATGTGTCACGAATAAAAGGTGTGTTACATTTTGATTCATTACATGTTGCTAACACTTAACTTAATCTCATTCGTTAAATAAAAATTTTTATTTTAAATAAATAAAAATTGAAAAAAAGTACTTTTAAAATTTTTTCTCCTCTGCTCTTTACTCTTTTATTTTTATTATTATTCTTAACTTCAATCACTTTTACTTAATCTAAATTATCTAGCAACTATTGGATTTGATAAAATACGGTTTAATTAAATTAGATTATTCTCTTATTTATATTGATTAAGAGACCAATTTTTGTGCGAATTTTTTTTTACAAACTGGACTCACGAAAATATTAGATAATTAAATTACAGTCTTCCTTCTTTCATCTTAGGTAAATTGTTGCAAGATTTAGAGTTTATATAGTATAAATCGTTCAATGCTTTTTATGAAAAAACCAAAAAAAAAAGAACAACGCATACTACTCATTTAAAAATCTAATTTAAAATTAAAATCTTTAATTTAAAACAACACATACTACTCATTTAAAAAAATCCAAATATTCAAACAATAAAATTATATTAAACTTTATTTTTTAATTAAAATATTTTTTAGAATAAATTTGAGAAGAGTTGAACTTTGAATTTTAGGTTAAATATAAATCTAACTCATAATATACTAAGAGTATTCAATGTTCAAATCTAAAACCTTGTTATAAAAACAATTTTGAATAGTAAAATGATTAGATCTAAGATTATAAATTTATCAAATTAAAAATGATGGTAATCAGTATTTGAGCGTTGGGTATGTTTTTGAATTGGTTATAAAAATTTCAAAATTTAATCATTTGAATTTTTTGTCGTAATGGCATTACCATTAGTTAATCCAAATAAAAAATTTTAAAATGCTTTAAATTTTAATGAAAATTAAATTATTAAAGTATAATAAAAATGTGAAAACAAATGTTAGGAAGGAAGAGGTCAAACAAATACTTAAATAAATATAAAAATATTATATATGGTTAAAGGCATCAGCCAAGAACCAATGATTTGAAATTATGAAAACAAGAAAAGTCAAAAGAGGTGAGTATATTTGGATTTGAAATTGGAGATACAAAATTTTTTAAGATATATTGATTATTTGTTTTGATTTTTATTATTTTTCAAACTGATTTGGACCCCACGATATGGGAGAAGCAACCCATCGCCCATTAATGTTAAAAAATAAAATAAAAGTTTTGCTTTGTATTTGTTTGCTTCCAATTTTTTTTATTAATCTTTTGTAATTTTTTTAATTGAAATAAAGGAATTTGAATTCCATCTTATTAGTATAAAATTTTAAATACATGTTATTATTTTACTAAACAAAATATTTAAAGTTTAATTTTTTTTGAAATAAAAATAAATATACATATCATTTAATTACATACTTAACAGCATTCATGTTTATTAGTTATTAAATATTAGTAAACACACTTTGCAATATTGCACATTTCTAATTATTTTTAATTTTTTTACAATTATCGATTGACGAATTCAAGTCTAGTATATATATATTTTTTACAAAAGTAAAAATAATAAAGTATTATATTTTTAAATCTTAAAAAAAGGTTGAAACTTCAATCAATCATAAAATCTCAATATTAGTATCCATATCATAATTCATCATAATTCGATTATATAAAAGCATTCACACCAAAGTTTCCTTCCCTCAAAATACGATGAAATGTACAAACTTAATTTTTATTCTTCAACTCATGAATATCACCAATTAAAAGTACCAAAGCGGATAGCACTTAATATCTGTTACTAAAATTAGATCAATAACAACCCCAGCATCCAATTCACATTCAACCTTGTAAGGCATTCTTGCCATGCTAGCATCCACATTAGAACAATAGAAATGCCAAACAATGACAAAAGCAGTTGAAAGTTCTATAATTACATTTTCCAACAGTGCTGACCGTGACAGAAATTAATTTCAAAGAACCAATCATAAGCATGGGTTTTAGGAAAATGATTCCAAGTTGTCACATAGTCACGAAAAAAAATCTTTAAAAAAGCCTTTTTTAATTGTTTTTCAAATAAATAAATTCATTTAATTTAATAATTCATTTGGATAATTGATGTGAATATTTACGGCATAAAAGCATTATTTTGTCGTTGATCATTAGGGAGTTAATGTTGTTTTGATGCTTAGGTGATAAAAATCCTTCTCAATCTATCCAAATGAAGCCTACAAATTCATTATTTTCCCTTTTTTTAGTTCAGAGTTTAGTTGATTTGTATGTGGATGTATTTTATCTATAATTTTTTTCTTATAATTTTATAATTATTTAATTATAATAAAAAATTATGTAAGAATTACTATTCATAAATATGAGTTTCATATAACATTTTAATAAATTTTATATAATTTTAAATTATGATTAATCAATTATAATTCAATAATTATAAAATGATATTCTCTCTACATATGCATGCATTGACATTGAAAATTGTTTCTAATAACTAATGAAGCTGCGTTAGCTCCAATCAAATATAGTAACTCTTACTCCTTTGGCTTATTTAATCTTTTCACTTTCTGGAGATTGAACGACGGTGAGGTTGGTTTTTTATTTTAATCATTGACACTCAATCGAAAATAAAAATACTCGAGTCTGCAAAAGTTTTTTTTTTCTTTCTTTAGATCATAGTTACCTAAATCAAAACAAGTATTGAATCGTTTAAGGTTTTAAATTATCGGGTAAATGATTCAACCATTAAATCAATAGGTTAATTGTCGATTTAATAAAAAATATTATAAAAAATAAAATATTTAAAAAATTCAAAATTCAAACTTTTAATTAAAATTATAATTTAATAATTCAACCATAAAACTATATATAAACTACAAATTTTAAAATATAATATTCATAAAATAATTAATTACTAGTTAGAAATAAAATAACTTAATATTTTATTAAAATCATATTTTATATTTTAATAAATATAATAAATAATAAGTAATAAAGAATTATAAAGAATTATTATTTATATTTATTAAAATATAAATATTATTTATTGATATATAATAATTAATCTTTATGTAATAGAAAAATATCTCAATATAAAGTTAATAAAAATGAAATATTTATATTTATATGAAAATTAGTAAAAAGGAAATTAAAATCATTTATATATTTTTTATATGAATGTAGATTTTTTTATTAATTTTATATATATACATTCTTTTATTAATATTTCAATCCCAGTCAAATAATTAATCATTTTATTAATATTTTTTATTAATTTTATATATTTTGTTTTTATAACTATTTTTAATTATGGTATCAATTAATAAATTTTTTTGTTAGATCATCTTTTTTTAAAATTGCTTATTTTTATATATGTATAAGTTTTTTTACAATATCACCATTCACATATCTTAAAATAAGTTAATATATCATTAATATAAGGATGCAATGACTTTGATAATAGAAAATAAGAATTTGAGGGCTTATTTAGATGAAGTAGTAGTATAATGATTTAATTAGATTATATTTGAATATTTAAATAATTTTTTTTTATATTTTACCTAAATTTATTAGTTGATATTAAACCAATCCGATTAAAAAAAAAATCATTTGATTTATTGATTTATTATGTAAATCGTTGGTTCATAACAATTTAAAGCGATTTAATTACAAACCTATAAAACCAAATCAGTTTTAGCATCGGTTCATCGATTCATCTAATCGGACTGACAGTTTGATTTGATTTCAATAATTATGTTTTAAGCCATCCAAATTTTTTAAGCAAAAAAAAAAAAAAGCTTATGATAACAGATAACAAAGAAAAGAAGAAAATGAAATTAAAACGAGGACATGTGCATCACGCCTCCAAAGAGAAATAGCAAATCTTAATTCAATCTTCATTTTAGTAATTAAAATTTCGTGTTTTTATATTATATAAAATATTAAAATTTATATATTTATATTATATTTTATATAAAAATTATGTATTAAATTTATATTGAGATAAAATATAAAATATATATTTCATATAATTATATTAAAATTATAAACAATATTACTTTTATATTTTATTTTTATATTGTATTTATATAATATTTTAAATTATCAAGTCTTTCAAAACCTCTTAAAGTTCAAATAATTTAAAAAATCTATTTGGATGGACGGTAAAATTGATTATAATGAGATTGAAAACTACGATTGCAATGAAATTAATTACTGTAATAGTGAAATTAAAATTAATGGTGAAACATGTAATTGGATGCAAAAGCAACAGTTGCAAATGAGATGAAGTGTAATAAAAATAGAAAATGATCATTAAGAATATTAAATTAAAAATTGTATATAATAAATTTATAATATATATTTGATATTTTTAAATTAATAAATTGTTAAAAATATAAAAATATTTTTATATTAAATAATAATTTTATTCATAAAAAATGAAAAGTAATTAAAATGAATACTATAAAATTTATTTAATTATTAATTATTTTATTATATAATTATAAAATCTTATTTATTTATATTAAATTAATAAAGTTATTTAAAAATTTTTAAATAGAAAAAAAAAGAAATGAAAAAAGAAGTTAAGTGATAAGGACGTTTTTGACTTAAAATTATAATTTCAAGGGTAAAAATGAAAAAAAAAAAAAGAAGAGAAAGTATGATTATTTTTGAAAATGAGTACCGCGGTGGGGTTAAAAATTTCTCATTGGATCCTTATAGGTTCAGTCCAATTTTTGCTTTCAGTGCATTGAAACCATCTCAACTGCACTGAAGTTCGGCCATCCAAATGACAAATCCCAGCACGTTTGGGCAAAGAATCAACCAAAGAGTTCGTTTTGCCCCATCCAAACTTTCACTGCATAGGGTAATTTCAATTTCTGTTAATAATAACGGTATTATAAAACGGACAAGGAAAGGAAAGGAAATCACATTTCAATTTCTAAGACGGGCCATATCTATGACGCTCATTGGGCCAGTGAGAGGAGCCTTAGTCAAATTTCATCACGTATTTTCAGCAGACTGCAAGTTGATAAGCTGAGCTATGGACATATTCACAAGATTAAGCCAGGGTTGGTCATACAGGAAAGCATGTCTTTGAACAAAAAGTAGATGATTGGTTTCCCACGCAACACTGAAATGTGTCGGTAACTGACAGTGATTGATGGCAATCATGAAATAAAACCAAGGCAACCACATGTAACAGCTCTCCCTCTCTCTTTCTCTTTGTGTTATTATGAGCTTTCGCCGTTTTTTAAATGGCAACGGGCTTTAATGCAAAAAGGGAATTTTCCTTACAACTTTCACAACTAAAGCTTGTTAAATTTTAGTTTGGATTCTGATGTCTATACGATCAAAATTGTCCAAAAGACCAATAATTGCTTAAGCTCACATTTAACAGTTTGTCCTTGCGTGACTCGATGGAGCGAGTGACTCACTTCTCGTTGAGACAGATACAGAGATTTATGTAAGGAAATAAAATAAAGGAAGAACAAAGAGCATCTTTTATCTTTATCCGACAAAGTCTAATTTTGTGAGGCTCTGATTTCATTGCCAATCTCTTAAAACAACTCGTTTTTCAAGAATCTCTTACCTTTGACCTCGTAAAATTAACCCAATCAAAATATATAAAATAACAATAACCGTGGTCTATTTGAATCCGACGGATGAGAGACTTGCTCAAAAAATTTTAAAGGCCAACTGGGCACATGGCATTAAACAAATGCAGAGGTTGAATTTCTAATTTTAAAGTCACGTTCTATTTCATCCTCTCTGCATTAAACAAATTGAAAAACAAAGAAGGCTAATGAAACATAATTCTTGGAGATTCCAACAACATTAAATAGCCAGAAAAAAATATTTCTGCCATTATGATTTCTTTTTTTAACTGCCACTATGATTCAGTTTCACGTGGAAATTAGTTTAACTGATGTCTCTTGCGGAAGCTTCAAAGAAAGTTATCTTACAGGCTTTTTTTTAACTAAAGAGTAAAATGATTTTCCTTTTTTGTTTTGTTTTTTTATGTTAACATTAATACTAACTTAGAAAGGTGTAAAAATTCTGAAACAGACAAAAGCCGAAAGTCATGAAACCCACGAAAGTAGCCTATTGGGATTTGGGAGAAGAGCAGGAATAACAAAAACAAAAGAAAGAAAGGCGTTTCTCCTTTTGGCTTTGTCTTTTTCTCTTTCTTTAGAGTAATATACAAGCGAGTTTGGTTTATTATAGTATTTATATATATTTACAACATTTATCTAATGACGTCTTAGATAATTAGTTGCTGTGGGGTTTTTGACGCTGTGCCTAACTCAATCTTGCATCTGTAGAAAAAGGCAGCCTTTCTTCGCTAATATCTTTGAAAGACTCAAACTTTTGGTTTTTTTTTCCTCAAATTTAAAGACTTAGTTTTGGTGGGTTTTGATTGTTTTGTAGGGAAAAGAAGAGTTTTCAGAAGATGGGTTCTTATGGAATGTTTGCCAGAAGGATTGTGGAGACTGATATACCAATCATGGTTCAGGTATTCATTCAGTTTTCAAATCTGGGTTTTCTTTGTTTTTGCCAATAAATCTGTTTACAGATTCAATCGATGTACTTTTAGTGTCATATTTGGTGGGTGAAGTGTTTTGGAAGAAAGTGTTTGTTGGTTTTTGAAGATGTTGAGGGGTGGTTGGTGTTGTTGCAGATACAGGAATTGATCCGAGGAGCTAAAAATTCTATGTCACTGGCTCAGGTTTGCGTTTTTCCTTTTACCAATGTGTTTTGTGTTTTATTGAAAGAATCCTCTTTTAATCAATGTTAGTGCATTTAACATGTTTCAATTTCGTTTTGAGTATGGTGGTGGTATTGAGAACTGAGAAATGGACGTTATTTTCTCTGGTCTCTATGTTCCAGGTGTCTTTATTTTTTGGTTAAATAACAATGAACAAGTTATTGGAAACTGAGAACAGTTTCTTTAAACTTGAGGTATATGGTGTGTTTGGCTGCAGGTTTTAATAAAATGGTTCTCTTTTATTCTTTCTCTCCTTCTCTGTCTTGTTAATCTTAGTCTTTAGTAGAACAAAATCTTGTTTCCAACCACCCAAAACTAAAGTTCATACTTGTCATTTCAGTTTTTCCTGAAAAGGCCCTAAAATAGTTGCATTGAAAACCTGCTTATGGTTGTAGATTCTCTTCTGGACTTTTTAATTTAGATAATTGTCTTAGCTATGATTAGATTGCAATTGTTATTGAATTGGTTTATCCCTCAGTTGCATTTGGCTAAGGTTGAGTTGTTTCTGGAAAGTCTTTTCGGCTAATTGTGCTACCTTTCTAACTTTTTTCACTGAAATAATTGTAGGGAGTTGTATACTGGCAACCACCCAAACAGGCACTGGATAAGGTTAAAGAACTTGTGGAGGATCCTTCAATTAGTCGTTATGGTGCTGATGAAGGTCTTCCTGAACTTAGAGAAGCATTGATAAGAAAGGTATATTTTCTAAAGAGTTATTTTTTTTTTTTGGGTAAATATGAGGCTGCAACCTGGGGATTAGGGAAAGGGTTGTAGGTGCTGGGATTCGAATTGCAGGTCTGCTGGATGCCATCTCTTAAAGGTGGCTCATGAACCAATTGAGCTATACTCCGAGTTCATTTTTTGAAGAGTTTGTCAGACTTTCTAATTGATAAAATTGTGGTTCTCATGGTTGGTACATAACAATGTGAAAATTTAAAAATTTTCAAAACACTGTAGACTGAGATTCTTTCCTCTACTGTATTTAACAATATACAATTATGGCAAATGTGTGTTAGGTGCACTAGGTTGACACTTGGGCCTTGTGCCAGACTTTGACAAAGCTTATAGGTCTGTAACTTTGGTTGGTTGGGTTGGGATTGATGGCTAAAATGAGCTTAATTCTATTGGTTCAATTAGCCTATAGGCAGCCCAAGTTTGAGATTTCTAGTCACGTTTTTATGTTTTTGTTTTATAGGATTAATAATCAATATATGAATAGCTATGTAGATGTAGTATATCTATCAAGTTTTCCTACCCTCTAAATGGTTATCATTATCAAAAGGTTTTTACGCAACAGGACACTGATGTTTACAACTGGATGTATACTGAAAAATGTATGGGAAGTAAATTAGACAAAATTAGTGCCTGGGAAAAGAATGACAAAGCCCAAAGATGATTTTTCATTTTTTTGTCATATTTATGACAGGTATTTGTTAAAATATGCCAGGAATAGGACAGATTGCCCTAGAAAACAAGCCACAGTGAAGATGACTTTTCTTAGTTGTTACATCTTTCTGTATTTATGTGTTGGAGTTTGGACTCTGCCCTCAATTTCCCCCTAAAGTATTAAAGGTTCAGCTTGAGCTTCCCTATTGGCCTTGTCATGTTGGATTTGAGTTGAGTCTTGTTGGACTTGCCCAAGTTACATCTCTACAATCTGTGTACAATGTATATTTTGAACTCTGGAATTGTTAGCTCAGTTCTTTTTCTTGATCTGTTATTCTGCTTGAGACTATCAAGGATTGGCCCAATTATTTGAGTTGGAGTTTTGACTCTGCCCTCAATTTCCCCCTAAAGTATTAAAGGTTCAGCTCAAGCTTCCCTATTGGCCTTGTCTTGTTGGATTTGTGTTGAGTCTTTATCAATTTGCCCAAGTCACATCACTACAAACTGTGTATAATGCATATTTTGAACTCTGGAGTTGTTAGCTTGGTTCTTATTCTTGACCTGTTATTCTGTTTGAGACTATCAAGGATTGGCCCAATTATTTCAATTGGCTATTATTGTCCTTGGTACTGTCATCATTGGCTCTGTTTTGCGCAAGTATCCTTTTCAATTAACATCATATTTCTCAGATGGTGCTGCTTTAGCTTCTTAGAAATGTTGATGTAGTCACTGCCATCTTTTACACCAATTTCCTATATTTTTAACAACCTATGGCATTGATGTGATGTAGAAATTGCTACTCTAGACCCTATTTTCATGTAACTAGAAAGTATAAAAATATGCTGTAAAATGATTCTCTTTATTTCTATGCAGTTGCGTCAAGAGAATAATTTGCACAGGTCTTCAGTGATGGTTACTGCAGGAGCAAATCAGGTAACCTTTAGTGCCTTAGAGAATTTTTGTTGTGTGTTCATATTGAAGGTATAGAGAGGGGCAAATTGCAGCTAAGTAGGTTATAAGTGCATTAAATATTTCTTTGCGTCACTTTATTTTTAGATTACTTGTAGAAGCAGCTAGATGATTCACTTGCTGCTTAATTCTGCATATATACCCTTTCCCCACGTTTTCTTGGTTTTCTAGTTTTATGTGCTCAAATTTTCTCATATATAGGTGCTGATTTTGCTTGGTCTTTAAGACTTTGTATATCACTGCCGATGTTGTAGGCCACTGCTGCAACATGGCATCTTTTGAGCCATGTTGGAAGGCCATGTTCAAGATCAAATTGGATGTGAGGAACAATAGTTATGATGTTTGAGGAAATGATTTGCTATTTAACTTGCTACATCTTTTAAGTCAGTGTTAGAACTTTTGAACAAATTTTGGACAAGCGACTGATTATTATGAGATTCTGCAATAAAACTAATTATGCTTGCATCCCTGGTAGAATGGATTAAAGCTTTTGACTTTGAGCTAAATAATTTAAACTTGTATGAATGATCTTCCTTCCACAAGTGTCATACATATGCTGTTTTATTATAAATCTCTTCTAACCTTTTTGCATTACAATGGATGATAATTTCATTCTATTGTTGGTTTAAAATGTAAAGCAGTGTTGCCTTTTCTTTTCAAATGTATCAATTATATCTCTCAGGAAGCTCAAACTACCCGTTGCTTGTCTTTATAACAGGCATTTGTGAATCTTGTTCTCACGTTGTGTGATGCGGGGGATTCCGTAGTCATGTTTGCTCCATACTATTTCAATGCCTACATGTCCTTCCAGATGACAGGTGTCACAAAGATACTGGTGGGTCCTGGTAATCCAAAGACTCTTTATCCAGATGCAGGTGCGGATCATGATAAGCTGTTCATTTAATAGCCTTCTAATTGCTTATAGAGCTTTTGCATTTGTTTTAGGGGTAGTGTAAGTTCTCTAATGATGTTCTCCATATTATTGGTGAAGAAAAAAAAAATTGATTTGTTCACTTTCTGCTCAAGACTTGCTTTTGTTGGTTTTGTTTGTTTGGAGAAATGAGGAAACAACTTAGAGCCTATTTTCAATGGGTTTGCTGTTGTTCTGGTTCTGTCTACCGTATAAATTTGTAGTCACTTAATTGGTTGATTTTACTTGAAGAGCTTATGTGACCATTATGATTAAGTAGTATAAGGGCAATAGATTTACATGCATAACAGAACAGATGATGTATTATTATTTGGACCAGGAATATCATATGTATTGTTTTAGATGATTTATCAGTGTCATCTTCATTTTTCAGACTGGTTAGAAAGGACATTACAGGAAACTAAACCTGTTCCAAAGCTTGTTACCGTTGTTAATCCTGGCAACCCATCTGGGACCTACATTCCCGAGCCACTACTTAAGGTCTTTCTCTTTCGCTCTTTGTGTGTGTGTGTCACCGTGTCATGTGCCTACATAAGTGGGTATGCACCATGTCTACAGTTCTGCATATATGCATCTAAGGGTGTACTTGTGTAGGTTTACTTCTGCTAGATCATGCTTTCTGGAAAAACTTATTCAATTTCTTGTTTTACTTTAAAATTCTTTAACTACTTTTTCTTGTTCTTTTAAATAGAGGATCTCTGATTTATGCAAAAATGCTGGTTGCTGGCTGGTTGTAGATAATACATATGAGTAAGTCTCTTCTGTTTTTGTTATAGAGGCATTCCATGTGATAGATCTTTTTTTTATTTCCAAAGAGCCCCGCATCCTAATAAAGGTGTTGAATTCTGATAATTGAACTATAGCATACTTTGAGATTCAAAGGATGTAAGTTTTCTACGATAAGGATAAGGAACCATTCCCCTCACAGCTGTATGTTTAAATAAGATGTAAACTGAATAGATTTTAGAAGTAGCACAACATTAAGCGGACTTTATGTCATACATACAGTCTAGATTAAGCAAACCTTTTTTGAAACCTTGTTTTCTGCAGCTAGAATTGTGTCACTTTTCACTTCAAACAGCTGTGAAATGGAAGTATGCTTGCAGTCTTATCTTGGGGGCTGTGCCCCTTCTATTTTTCCTTTCCTATGGATTATGATTTGAGCATTAGTTTGTTAAGATAAATGTCTAGATGGCAAGGGATCAATTGACATCAGGAGCATGAGAAATTGATGACCAAATCCTTGTGGGATAGTTGATGGTTTACCGTGGATACAGGATATAGTTGCATTTAAGTAGTCTTTAATTACGACAATTTTCAATAGGCAATGCTTTTAGATTATTTCTGAGAGTTGCAGTGTGTAAACTCTTATATTACATATTTTCTATGACCACCCATATGCAGGTATTTTATGTATGATGGTCTAAAACACTCCTGCCTGGAAGGAAATCACATAGTCAACATCTTTTCTTTTTCAAAAGCCTACGGGATGATGGGATGGCGAGTTGGATATGTAAGTAACAACGTTGTGAGAACAAGACCTTTTTCTTCTCCTCAAGTATGCATATATCTTTGGTTATTAAATCAAACATCCAGAAAATTATTCTATGATGATAAAACTTTGTGCTTTTTCTTTTTCTTACCTAAGTGAAATTTGTGTTTCTCTTCTTGGTCAATGTTATTTGTCTCAAGTTCTAAAAGCATTTACATTTTTTTGGGTGATTTCATACTTACAAATAGAACTTACAATCATATTCGAATAACTTTCAAGATATATATATATATATATATATATATATATCCCATAATTCATCCATGGAAAAAATCAATAAACAAACAAAATAAAAATAAGATAAAGGTGGACTAACTCATACATAGCCAAAGAAAGAACAGAAAAGGAAAGAAAATAAAAGGGAAAATGAGTTCTCTTATTCAGGGGAAGGAGCTGCCCAATCTTGTTCATCCAAAAATGGTAAAAACAAAAAACTGTCCACGCTTTTATCTGTGTGTAATGGTACTTTGATTTATGGACTATATATATATCAAAATTCTTTAATTTTGTACCCACCATATTCTTCATAATTTACCATGAAGTATTTGTATGTGTCTATTTTTTGTGCACTTAGACTGAACCTGTATGGATGCATGCAGATTGCATACCCCACAGAAGTGCATGGCCTTGCAACTCAACTTCTCAAAGTTCAAGACAACATACCTATCTGTGCTTCCATAATTTCGCAGCGACTTGCCTTTCACTCTTTAGAAGTGGGACCTGAATGGGTACTTGAACGAGTCAAAGATCTTGTGAAGAATCGAGAAATAGTTGTAGAAGCACTCTCACCGTTGGGAGAAGGTGCTGTACAGGGTGGAGAAGGCGCTCTTTACTTGTGGGCAACTTTACCAGAGGAATATGTTGATGATGTCAAGGTTGTTCACTGGCTTGCTAACAGGCATGGGGTTATTGTGATCCCAGGAACTGCATGTGGCTCCCCAGGGCATTTAAGGATTTCCTTTGGTGGGCTGATAGAGGATGATTGTAGAGCAGCTGCAGAGAGGCTGAAGAAAGGATTAGAAGAATTGGTGAAAGATGGAATGGTGCAGTAACTATATTTTTCATTTAATTGAGATGACAGAATTGGGTCCATTCACCAGTTTTAAGTTTTAGAACTGGTTCATTTGAATAATTGTTGGGTATCTACCTGCTAAGGTGTTCAAAATTAGAGCTGCAGCTTCAGTTGTCTATATTGGCAAAGTACTTTAACTGATACCTTCATAAATTGCGCACATTGATGTTTAATACATGCAGACTCTTTACAATTTTCGAAGTGCTCATTCTATTTAAATTCCATAGTCTTAATGTTGGCAATGACATGCTATTGGCGTCAATATCCAGAAGGTGTTGATTCTCTATTCTGCCTATGCAAGTTGATGCTCATGAAGCTGAGTCAGGCCATAGTATGTCATACTCATCGGTCCACCACTACAAGTTAGCTTTCTTCACATGCTTGGTATCAAGATATTGTATTGTTTGTTTTGATCCTTTAAACCTCACGGTTTTGTATTACAAAAAATGCTTGACAAGTTGAAAATGATGTGAATAAATCGAACTCTACTATACAGTGGCTGTGGTATTCATGGCTCTTGAGAATCATGACATTTAGCAAGTGTTTCTCGTTGGATTGGTAGAAGAATGTGACCCTAGACCTGGGGTTGAAGTGGTTGTGCATGGTTCTCAGGGACCTCAACTGAACTAGCTATGTCCTTCATACTGATCCTTTATGACCACCATTTTATGTAAAGTATTGGTTATTGTTTATTTTTTTTCACAGCTCAGCTTTCAGCATGCTAGACCTATTTCTCATTTTTCAACCGTTATGTCTTAGTTCTTTTTCTTTACCCAAAGTCAGAAGGTTACCCAACCCTTTTCACTTTAAAATTTTAATTCAAATGGATGAATGCCAAAAGAAGTTTAAAAAAGAGGGCTTGTCATGCAACTTTTCCAACTGAAAATGTGGGATCCCACCTGAGAGAAATGTTTCTCACCTGAGAGCAATTAGGCAGTGGTTAAATGGTTAAATCCATTGAAAGTGAAAAAGGACAAAGAAAACATTACTATAATCCTTCTTGAAGTGAATGGGGTGGGTGCTTGATTTGATCTGTTTGAATCAATGTTCAAATGTATTAAACATAATCATTCGAAGTTTTCATATGTCGTTTGTTCATTATTAATTTTAAAATAAATATTATTTAGAGCTGTTAAGAAATTTAAGTCAGAAGATCTAATTGAAAAAAAATGTTTGGCTACCCTATCAAAATATGATAAATTCAAATAAAATATAATGATAAAATACGAAAGAATATGAATAAAAAATATAAAAAAATATATTTAAAATTTTAACAAAAATCATAAATAAATTTAATAAAATAAAAAATATATTTTATATTTTTATGTCAATATGAATTATAATATATAATTTTTATATAAAATATGATATAAATATATAAATTTTTAATATTTTACAGACTGAAATACATAAATCACCATTGAAGAGAGTGAAAAAAAAAAAACAAAAAGGAAAAGAGGAATTCGATGAATAAAAATCAAAGCAGTAATAAGCTTTTTGTTTTGGGTCCCTTCTTCAGTGTGACTTCCGTTATTGGGTCCACAATAACCAACGGCCTAAAACTCCAAAAAAGGCCCAAAATCACAAGAGCTCAAACGTAATTTCGTCCCTTACTGCCTCGGTTTAAACGTCGCCGTCAACTCTCTCCATTCAATCCACAAATCTAAACGGAAAGCAGGACAAAAGAAAAGAAAGAAGATTTTGTTCTTCAAATTTAAAACCCTAGAATTTGCGAGATTTTTTGTTTTTGGATTTTGATGGTGAAATCGAAATGGTAGGAAATTCGCTAGCTGGATTACAAGATCACTTGAAATTGGCTAGAGAATACGCTCTCGAAGGCCTCTACGACACTTCCATTATCTTCTTTGATGGCGCCATTGCTCAGATCAACAAGTAATTCTTCTTCCTCTCTTTAGTTTCCTCTCCTTTTCTGTAATTTCAGCCACTCATAATGTTTGTCTCATTTTTGTGGGCTCTAAATTACGAATTTGTATGCATAGTTTTGATTCGCAATCAAGTTAGTTACACTGTTAATAGTTCAGTTAGATTTTTTTTTTTTAATTTTAAGAGTTTTTAGAGGAAAAAATTCAAAAAAATGTTAACTTTATCGGAGGATTTTCTTTTTTAGGTTGCCAATCATAAGAAAATGAATGGTAGATGTAAATGTTTAATATTTTATTTTATTAGGTCAAAAAATTTACTTATTGGTTTCAAATTTTTGGTAAACAATTGTAATATTATTTATTTATTTATTTTTATTATTCATAATGTCAATGGTATAACGAAATAAATGAAAAACCCATTTGAATTATAAATTGAAGAAGTATGTGATGTGTTTGCTTTTGACCTTCTTTAGAAAATTGATATTTTTGTAGCTATTGTTTGAGTTACTTCGCTAAAATTATGATTTTTGTCATGCATTTAGGCATCTAACAACTCTTGATGACCCGCTTATTCGTGCAAAATGGATGAATGTAAAGAAAGCACTGTCAGAGGAGACCGAAGTTGTGAAGCAATTGGATGCTGAGAGAAGGTCATTTAAGGAAGCCCCTAATGGGCAGCGTCCTTCTTCACCACCGATTCATGCTAAGTCGTCTTTTGTGTTCCAACCATTAGATGAGTACCCGACTTCATCAGGTGCCCCAATGGATGATCCTGATGTGTGGAGGCCTCCAAGTCGGGACACTACAAGTAGAAGATCTGCAAGGACTGGTCAAGTAGGCACGAGGAAATCACCACAAGATGGGACTTGGGGTCGTGGTAATACTAGAACAGGTACAACCGGACGTGGTGCGAAGGCTGGTGCTTCGAGTAGAACTAACACAGGGGTTAGAGCATCTGCCGCTGGGAAGAAGGGTACTGGTTCGGGGAAGTCTAGCAAAGGAGATTCAGCAGTGAGTTCCAGTTGACAAAAAGTTTTGCATGTTAATTTTAACTCATTACTGTCTTTGCAGTTTGAGCTTTCAATCTAAAGCTTAACATGTTTAGTGTCACTTCTCATGCATGTGGCAAATTTACTATTAATAACTGAAACCTCTTTAATATAATCCCAAATAGTTATAGTCACATGAACAGTTTTTGCTATTTTGAAGTTAAACTATATTAATTTGATGTTCTCAATTTTTTGGTGATTAATTTGCTTGTGCAATTTTTTAGAATGGTGATGCTGAAGATGGAAAGTCAAAGAGGTCGCAGTATGAGGGACCTGATCCAGATTTGGCCGCAATGTTGGAAAGGGATGTTTTAGAAACCACTCCTGGAGTACGGTGGGATGATGTTGCTGGTTTGACTGAAGCAAAAAGGCTTTTAGAGGAAGCTGTTGTTCTTCCTTTATGGATGCCTGAATATTTTCAGGTACTTGCTGCAGTTGCAGCTGAATTATCATTAAAGTATTATTTGGTTGAGGGCATGTGATATTGCTAGAGCAATTCATGTTTCTGTCACATGATACAGTGTGAATACTAAATATATTATTTCTTATGATTTCATTGGCTTGATTTTGCATTCAATAAAGGGATATAATGACAGTTATTTAAGTCTAGTACTCTGTATATATTTTTAGGGACTAAGGAAAAGTCATTAAGACAAACTTAGTTTGTGTAAAAAATTTTAGAAAAAAAAAAAGAAAAAAAACTTTTCTGCATATCTTTTTGCACCCAAATCTACATATGTTGTTTTGACATGGACTGCTCGACAGGATGATTTATTTTCTTCTTGTTTTTGTCTTTAGGGAATTAGGAGACCATGGAAAGGTGTTCTTATGTTTGGGCCTCCTGGAACTGGCAAAACTCTTCTCGCTAAAGCAGTTGCCACTGAGTGTGGGACAACTTTTTTCAATGTTTCTTCTGCTACATTAGCCTCAAAGTGGCGTGGGGAGAGTGAGCGCATGGTCCGGTGCTTGTTTGATCTTGCAAGGGCTTATGCTCCTAGTACAATTTTTATTGATGAGATTGACTCTCTTTGCAATGCCCGTGGGTAAGTTTGCTGTCTGTTACTGTACAGTTTGGCTGTTATCTGCGTTTCTATCTTGGCAGTTAGCTTTAATTTATTCTTGACGTTCAGAGTTTATATATTTCTGTGCATTTTTCTCTAGCATGATGGGTGAATGTATGTGCCAGTATTTCAACATTTAAATTGTATATTTCATGGATAGACATGCTCACTTTTTCTTCAACTCTTCATTCATGCATTTACTGATGCATTAAACTCTCTTTCTCTTTCTCCTTCTCTCGCTTTATGGCATTAGCTTTTGCTGACCATTAAATAAAGTCTTCGATGTTCTGCGCTAAAATGTGATATTGATAGATTTATTCTTTGGTAATGTTGTCTGACTCTTGTCTTTGAATGCATTTTTTTATTTATTTAGGGCTTCTGGTGAGCATGAATCATCTAGAAGGGTAAAATCTGAACTTCTTGTTCAGGTAGATGGTGTAAATAATACTGGCACAAATGAAGATGGTAGCCGTAAGATAGTGATGGTTTTGGCTGCAACTAACTTCCCATGGGACATAGATGAGGCTCTCAGGTTGGTCCTGTTTATTTTTTATATGTTTTAGTCTTGATTTTTTTTTTCTACTTTTCGGTTGACTGGATATGTTATTTGCACCAAGTCATATGTTTGAGGGATCTTATCATTCAAGTAGTTTGCAGTTGTTGTATCTAATTGTTCTTCATGCAATGTAGGAGGCGACTGGAAAAGCGTATATACATTCCTCTGCCTAATTTTGAGAGTCGTAAGGAGCTTATCCGGATCAATTTAAAAACAGTTGAGGTAAATTACTCCCACCAATCTATGAATAATCTTGTGATTCTTTTAAGGCTTTATGATGTGATTATTTTCTTTGTTGTGTTTTTTGTCATGCCACATTTGATTTGTTTCATTGATATTTAGTTTTACTTTAGCTATAAGTTATTCATGTGATGGTTCAATAAGGTGAAATGTAGCTTTGGTAACATAATGGTGATGTTGTAACTTAAAATTCTTTTGGGAGCCGAATAAAAGTATATGTATGAATTATCTGAAAAGTAGGTGATTTTATAGAATATTATAATAGATTGGTCATATCTCACGTAAAACTAATTTCTTTATTAATTTGTCTGATGAGAGCAAGAAATTCCACAGCCAAGTAGTTTCATTTTTTGGGAGACAATGGTGGATGTGAGAGACTGAATTGAAGAGGAATGTGCAAGCACAAATTTGTCATTCTAGTGTCCTTCCCCCTCCCTCCTTTAAATACAAAGTCTTTACCATGTTTCTGTTTTCTATTAAAACTTTATGTTAACATGGATCCATCAAGGTAATTTTTAGGGTTTTTTCAGTGAAAGATATAATGCTAGAATCAATACTACCAGTCCAAGAAATTTACCAAAATTTACTCCAGTTTCCTTGCAAATGATCCCTTAAAAACATTGGCCAATGGTCAGCATACTATGCTTGTAACGAAATTGAGTTTCAGTCTGCCATTTATTGTGCTTTGAGCATCAAGACTTTTCGTAGCTTGAAAAGGTTAGCTTGTCTGTGTGATATCTGCCAGAAAGATTATAAGGTCCTGAAAGCCAAACTCTTGGCTTTTGTCTGTTTAAGCTGTTATTTCTATTTTACGCCCTGCATGCTACGTTTGTCTCTTCTAATTTAATATTTGTATTTGTATCCTTTTTCTCCTTTATATTGTTCATTTATACTATGAATTTTAATAATTTATGCTAACATTAATTTGTTTTCTATTTAATGATACTGTATATCTATGTGGCAGGTGGCTGCTGATGTGGATATTGATGAAGTGGCTCGTCGAACAGAGGGATACAGTGGGGATGATCTCACAAATGTTTGTCGTGATGCTTCCTTGAATGGCATGAGGCGTAAAATAGCTGGAAAGACACGTGATGAGATTAAGAACATGTCCAAAGATGAGATTTCAAAGGATCCGGTTGCAATGTGCGACTTTGAAGAAGCCTTGGCGAAGGTCCAGCGAAGTGTTTCTCAAGCCGATATTGAGAAGCATGAAAAGTGGTTTGCAGAATTTGGATCAGCATAAGGAATATTGAAAGCCTTTTTGAGGATGATATATTGTTTGCTTTCCTGATATGTTTATGGAAAGAGTGTTCATTGTTATTTCTTATATTTCTGGGCATTTTGTTTGTTCCTTTGAAAGTGGGTGACTGTTTGTAATCAGAATGTTCGATGGATCTTGCATGGTTGTTATTCGTATCTGTAATCTCATTGATGATGTAACCTGATCATGGTTCACTAATTTTATCAGTAAACTGTGCGTTTTGTCAAAATCCAAAATTTGAAACATCTAGAGATACTGCAAAGATGCAGGAGTCCTGTCTTTCTCCTTAGTTTGTTATTTCCTACAGTGACGTACCTGCAATGAGTAGTTAGTAGTGAGACTGAACTGGGTCCAGACTAGTTCGGAGAATAAATGGAATGCCTTTGTTCTTTTCGAAATATTAGGTTGGATAAGTAAGAGTTGAACCTGACGTGTTATGCTTATTCCTTTCGTGTTCTTCCTTCGTGTTACAGGAACAAGGTTACGGACAGTTTGAGTCAGCCAAAGCGAAAGACCCCAATCAGAATCTATATAGATAAGTTAAAACACTATTCGGGTCCCATGGTCTGCCTTTATTTCTATAAATACGTCCAACTGTATTCTGCAACTTGCTGCGCCCCTTGCTGCACTCGTACCAATGGATAGTTGGAATCTCAATCCCACTCTCTTTTCTTTCCTTCTTTTCTTCTCTCTTCTTCAACTGTAACAGCCACTTCTTCAACTGTAACAGCCACTTCTTCACAAGTAATTTTAAATCCATTCGAAGGTAATTCTTCATAAACATTTTGATTTTTCAGTTATGGTGGGATTTGGATTCTGCTAAGCTCGATGTTTTTATCTGTGCTGTAGTTGCTGATGATATTGTCGATGGTGGAACATGTAGCAGATATTGTTTGTTCGATTATAAATTGTGGGCAAGGAACATGTAAAGCTTCGAACAATTCACTGCTTGGATTTGACTGCAAATGTAAACCTGGTTGGAAAAAGTTTCAGATTGGACCTTTCAACTCCCCCTCTTGTCTGATTCCTGTGAGTTTCTCACACTCTCTTTTCTCAAAGAGCAAAAGGAAAGAAATTAATACCATAATTTATTTACTCAACAATTGCAGGCACGGTTGACTTTCTTTGTGGCTAGGGAAATCCATCACCACCTCCGCCCCAGCTTCTCTTCCACCACTAGCAAATCAGACTAACCGTATATATAAACCATTATACTTATGTTTTATGTTTTTAATTACTTCATTTTCATTGCCATGTTCGAAAAAAATACAATTCCAACTAAAGGAAATGAGCTATTCTTTTACTCCACAGGTTGTCATTTTGTTTGGTGTGGTGATGGAAAATGTGAGTAATGGAACTGGACATATCTGTCACTGCAATCAAGGCTCAGAGAATTTGTTTAATCTAAGTTGTTTTAAACCTTCTAAGTTGGCTTCTTTTCTTTACCTCTCTTGATCTTGTTAGGTTAAACAAAGCATAAATTAATGAGCAGAAAAGTATAATTTTGAGGGTAATATATCTTGAAAATATAACTAGGTTGAAGCTAAATTGTAATGAATTTTAAATTTGATCATCTATTGCCAATTGGTTTCAAAGTCAAAAACTTTTTTGAATAATGGATTTTGTTGGTGTTAAAAGAGGTTTTTGAAAGGTGATACAGATCAAGAGTATTGTATTTTGTGTTGTTTAGCCAAGCCAATAATTAATTTGGGAGTTTAAATATGTATAATTTGCGAAAACTTTTGATCCAGGCTACTTTGGTGCTGACTGTCGGGGCCTTGGGTTGGACCTGCAGCTTGAGCATCGACAACCACCATCACCAGCATCATCTGGTACTTCGGGTTCATACGGCGATGGTAACTATTTTAAGCTTTATATGTGTAATAAACTAAATATGTTTTTTTTTAATAAATAAACCTGAAAAAAAAAAAGCTTAAATATCAATATTTCTTTACATATTCCAAAAGGGTTCATTATTTCAAACCAATTGGGCTCAAAATTTAAGCCTGTTCGATTCTTTTGGGCTTATAGATTTATAATATTGAGCCTATTTTAAACTAATTTTGTAAATTTTTTTTTTTTACAAAAAAGATCGTAATTCGAGATGAAAAAAGAGATTACAGATATCAAGATTTAAAATTTAAATATACTAGATGTTACTTTTTAAGGATAATTCTTGCTTTGTACCGATCATTACAGCTATACATGCATATATTATAGGACTTAAGGGTGTGTCAAATTGCTGGGGAACTCTATGCGGACGAACCCTGATAGTCGTACCAACAGCCTGCCTACCATGTTTTGAGAAAAGAAAAATGATTGTGCAGACATTCAACAACATTGGCAATTAATTAGTTGATAACAATTATGAGTTTTCTTTTTTCTTTTTTTTTTTTAAAACTTCATTATCACTATGATTTTATTATATGATAAGATCATTTGACAGAGATATAAAAGATAAAATTTATTGATGCAAAGATTATTAGATTGTTCCAACGACATCTGGAAATGGTCATTTTTTTTTTAATCCGCAGTCCAACATTGACATTATGGCCCAAGGGAAATGGCATGTCTTCGAATCTCATAAGCCCCGGGCTCAAGCCCGGCCCAACTTTAAGAGCATTATTTTTTCTGTCATAAGTGGCTGATCATAACCCTTTAAGTTTGCAAGTTTAAACTGTTTAATTATCCATAATTTTTACATCAATACAAGTATTTGAGAATTTTTACATCAATGCAAGTGTTTGAAAATTTTTTTTTAACAAAAATTTTGCTACTGTTTTAATTAAGTTAACATAATTTGCTATTAGAAAAAGATATATGTACTCATCTAATACATTCATTTCACGCGCGCATAAAATTTTATTTTCAAATAACATATGAAAGTTTTAATATTTTTCACTTGATTGTTCTTATTGTTTTGCTTCAATAGGAGCTGAAGTCCCTTTGGACTGACTTGAAAAAGATTAAAACATCAGAGGATTGGGTACAAAACAATATATAGCAATGTCTAACAAATTAAATCATCCTATAAGAGGACAAGGCATGTGCCCCGAGGAAGATCCTTTATTACTAATGGAAAAAACCTGTTTTATTCTGTACTTCTGTTCTTTTTATTGTCTTCTTCAATGCTTCTTGTAATAATTTCTGCAATTGTTTTTTGATATGGAAACCAATTGCTAGTAACCAACTAATTTCATGTGCCCAAAAACCAAAAAAAAAAAAAAAAAAAAAACAATCCTTGTCATTAATTTTCTAGTGAGTTAATGTGGTTTCTTCACTTTTATTTTGTTTTTTTGTTGTTTGATTTAAATGATAACTTAATTAGTAGTTTTTCTTTCAATATAATTTCTATCATCAAATTACTGTAGCGAGTAATTTGATTGCTAATTAAACCATTTGTTTAATTACTGATCCGCAATGGAAAAGAAAATAAAGACCAAACATGACATTTATGTTTTTGTGATTAATCATACTAGATAAATAGAGGAATTTGAACTTAACTTAACTAATTAATATAATTAGAGATAACATTTAACAAATTAGAGAATAAAATTGTAACGCTTACAATCTTAATTTTAATTATTTGTAGGTTATGTTTTTTTTTTTTGTAAAAAAAAAAAATAGAGATAGATGTATAGGTTTTCTCCAAATAAGGTATTGACATTTCACACCATGAATAAAATTTTTTCCTTCAAGTAATTCTTTTTATTAATGTTTCTTTAAACAATTAATAACTTAATTTGTAGTGTTACAATCAAAATAATTCGTCTTATTAAATTATATTTTAATAACAAATTACATATTAATTCAACGAGTGAGTAATTCGATTGTTATAAATCATTAATTATTGAATTACTTCACATTGAAAAGAGAATAAAAACCAATCATACCATTTCTTTTGTTGATTAGACATAGTAGGTAATAGGAGGGATATATAGGTCTCCTCCCAAGAAAGTATAGACATATCATACCATGGCTGAATTTTTTGCCTTCAAATAATTCACTTTTAGGTCAAATGTTTGGCTAAGCTATGAAAGTTGTGGAAATAACCAAAACCCCACTCCCCTTTTTTTTTTCCCTTTGTTTAAAAATGATTTTACAATTAAATAATATAATACCTTGTATTTCAAAATTTAAGATTCGAATTCAAAATTTTCATTCAATGGCATATTAAGTATCATTTTATGTAAGTCTTGTTGGTTATTTATTTGTCATATTTTGCATGAGACATATGTATAAACTTAAGTACTTCATTACTATTTTTTTAAGCAAGAGAAAAAATAAAAAATTGATTTGGCATAACTCAACATAGCAAAGGTAAAGTGAACTTTGGATAAAAATCTTAGATTTGAGTTGTTACAATGCTTCCTTTTGTACATGTAGAAAAAGGGAAATTTTTTTTTTAAGAAAGAGAGAAGCAAAAACAAGGAAATGATGAAGGAAATGGGAGAGAACCAATTATATCAATGGTTTATTGGCAACTTGTTTGTCTACTTGCATGTGATGGACCAAAAGACAAAGGGCATGTGGCCAAGAAGATTGCCATTCCTATGAGAGCTATATTTGATTTTGGAATTGCATTTATGGTGTTTTCTTCTTCTTAATCCTTTTCCATTTGTGCTTGGAATCTCAGTGCAATGAAAGTAGACAACCCTCATAGGCTTTTGGTTTTTATGTTTCATTTTGTTTCATTGCCTTTATTTTGTTCTTTTCTCCCCTTTTTGGTACCTCTTGTTCTTTTCTTCTTTTTATGATTTTGTTTTATTGGCTAATTAATAGCCTTGCTTGGGCATGTTTGGCAATTTTCTTAAAGGGGATTAAGAGATTTGATTTAAGAGCTTAGATGCGGAGGGCGAGATTTCAGCTTCCCACCTTTATCTTAGAGAAGTTTGACACTTATATATAAATATTAATTAAAATAATGAATTTGTTTTTATTCACTATTAGTGTAATTTTTTAATTTTACGAACGAAATTAAAGTTCTCAACATTTTTAAGTGTAATATCTTTTTTTGAATTTGAACATGAATTTTTAAAAGCCTCCGCCTTTAATTTTTTTTTCTCACGATAATGAGATTTCGGTAATATTTTCTAACATAGGTAGATCAATAATATGTAAAAGAGTAGCTAATATTTGTATTTATATAAAAAAAACTTAAGAAATACTTGATGAACAATAAAAATTTTAGCACAAGTTTTACTTTTTAAATTGTTTAAATTTTTGTTTAGGATTAAACATTCATTTGATCCCTCTTATACCACTTTTATCACTTTAGTACTTTGAGAATAAAATCTTAGTATTAATATTTTTTGGGTAATTATGAAATTCAATAGGCCAGTTAAGATTATTAATGGGAAATAATCTTTTTTGTTCCATTTGATAAACTCCAATTTCGCTTCCAAAATTTAAGCCATTACTTTCAATTAAAAGTTACTGAAAAACACCTTACTATAAGTAATTAATCTGTCAAACGTCAACAGAAATTAAGCAACTGAGTAAATGAGACAAAAATTAATCCATCACATAATTAAATCTTAGGTCGCCATTGTGATTTGTGACGACTACCAAGTCATTTTCTTTCTCCACTCACTTGGGTTGATTTCATTTGTCTATCAAAAGATTGTGGGCTATTAATTGATTAATATCCAGCAATGAATATTCCATGAGAGAGGATCACAATATTGTCTATTTTTGGGAAAGTTAAAACTAAATCAAAATCACTATTCATCAAATAAGGACAAAAAAAAAAAAAAAACACCTTTGCATTAGACTTTTCTAGGAGATCATGTATGTATTTTAATTATTTGGCTTTGATATTTCAGTCTTGTTTAAAAAAAAAAAAAAAAAAATCTAGATGTTCATACTTCACATGCATAACCCTTTGCAAAACTTGGGAAGTTGCCCTCTTAATATAGGTGTAGGACTATGTTTTTTGTGCAGTAAGAGTTGCCTTTTCAACACTACCATGCAGTAAAATGTGGGATTTTGAGAAACCCAAAAAATAATTAAACCAATAGCATGTAAAGAATTCATCTAATTCTACGATTGCACAAATGTGTAAAAAGGTAAAAAATAATAAAATAGTAAAAAAAAAAAAACTAGAGAATTGTGCTTAATGTGATCGTATAGTATTTAGGTTTAGCATACAACAACAACTACAAGATAAGGGAATTGGCCTCCCAAATGAGCAGATTTGTCTTACTTACTATTGTATTAATTCTTAATGACTTTTCCTCTGCAGTCTAGGCTAGGCTTTACTTAGAGACAACAGAGTGGATATCTATTTTTTTTTTTTAGAAATTTGTGTATTAATTTATTTTATATTTATAATATTATAATTTGTTTATATATTTATTTATATTTAATATTATTATTTAAATTCAAATCCATTTAAATAAATAGTATTCTTTTAAATATTTAAATTCATTAAAATATCTGTTTATTTAAATTTTTTTATTAAAATATAAAATGAACAAAATTTAAATTCATTCTTCATTAATAACAAACAAAAATTATTTATCAAGGTTTGAAACCTTTCACAAATATAAAATTTTACATATTTTACATATATGAATGGGTAATGAATTTAGATATAAATTTGAATATCCGTTATTATTCATTAAAATTTAAATAGATTTAAATATTAAATATTAGATATTTACAAGATACTATTTATATTCTATTTGAATTCATCACAAAAAATA